ACCCTTCTCTTACCTCTCCATTCAGATACAGCAGGTCGAAGGCGTACACGCACACTTGGACTTTGATATCGGAGGCGTCCACATCCTTAAAAAAAGAAAGAAAAACTCATTCTTGAAAGAGCACAAGCCCCACCTTTTCCGGAATGCGCTTGGCTGCTTTGTGGGGCCGCTCGCTTTGAACTCGAGGCTGCCCGGTGCGGACAGGTCAGTGACGTACCTTCCTCTTGCGAGTGGTCAGCACCTGGAAAGGCTGGATCTGCTTCTTCTCCCTGTCCCAGGCCACGGCCTCCGCATCCAAAATGCAGGAGCGCACCTCTTCTTTCTTCACCTGGACAGACAGACAAACATTCACAGAAGGAAGCTGACCAAGGGCGAGAGAGAGACGGGCAGAGAGCCACCAGGCTGACCGAGGGGGAGAGAGAGAGACGGGCAGAGAGTCACTAGGCTGACCGAGGGTGATCAAGATGGACAAAGGCACTAGGATGACACAAACCATCTGAAACTAGAAACGGAACAAGGGATGCAAGTGGATGAGAAGCTTGATACAGTGAGGACTTCTCCCATGCTCACTGGAGTCACGAGCAACTGACAGCCCTCAGAGCTGAGCAATGAAACAGCGAGTCGGGAGAAGAAACGGAAAGGAGCTCGTACCTGCGGGATTCTGGAGATGATGTCGGGGTATTTGCTGGTGTTGTTCTCTTGGTTTCGGCTGTAGATGTGAACCTCTCCGTTTTCAAGGATGTGGATCTGAAGGAAACGGGCAGCAGGGAGACACGGTCAGGGCCAGGGTTGCGGCAGCGGAGGTGAACCCTGGGTCGGGCACGACCGGCGCACCCTTGAGCAAGGCCCTCCACCAGAGCGGTCCCGTCCCACAAGGCCTCCCCTGACCCCATGGCCCCACCCCCGGATCTATGACTCCGCCCATCTAGTCACCCCTCTAAGCTGTGGCTCTGCCCCTTGAGCTCATCCTCTGAGCAACAGCTCCACCCGACTGGATAAAACGAGTAACACCCTGGATTCAGGTGCCAGCCAAAACATGTTCATTCTCATCAGATGACAAAGTCTGGCTGGCTACCAACGAGGGTTTTCCGATTCTCATCTAACCTCAAGCCAGGCGTCCCCCTCTTCGGGGTTTCACGGTGAGAAGGTGCGCCCTTACCCCCCCCCCCCCGCCAGGCACCTCCGCGCCCCAGCTCACCTGCGCCCGTTCCCCATCGTACTTGTACTCGCAGGTGAAGGTGGCTTCGTCGAACCTCTTCATGACTTCGCCGATGCCCCTCGTGGGGTGAGCCAGCATGGGCTTCAGGGGCACCCCTGCAGGAGACCAAACGCACATGACCCTGGTGACCCTAGGGCTGAGGAGCGGGAACAGGGCGGCCCACCAAGACACAAAGAGACTATTACAGCCGTAGGAAGAGGTCACCAGAGATACCCCCCAAGATACTGACTGCCAGGGAACGGTTAGAGCATAAGAACGGGTGGGACCAAAAGGCGGACATGCGGACCCTTTAGCCTAGTTGGTAATGGATAATCAATTGATCTGATCAGCTGTTTCTTGAAAGAAGCCAGGGTTATCAGCTCCAACAACATGCCCGGAGCTGCTTGCTCCTCACAGCCCAGCCCTTGGGGTACAGAAGTTCTCCCCCTCTTCCCGGTTTTAAAGCCATTTAAACCACACTTTCCACCTGTGCCCTCAACAGTACGCGGACAGGTTCCTTGCATCACTGTATAACCGAACAGAACGAGAAAAGACAGGATTCAAGTCTGGAAGATCCCGAAGGACATCGATTGGGTCAACCCTGGGCAGCATTTCAGTCTCAGCTGCAAATCAAACGGCCCATCTTCACAGATGGAAAACGAACAGAGAACAGGAAACATTCGTTGACATCGAGGATCCCAAAGGCAACCGAGGAAGGTGGGCGAGAGCCAAATGCGGGGCCACTTCAAGATGTGGCTGGTTGTAGATCCTAGTACTACAGGCAACTTTTCTTGTGCTCTTTATGAGTGAGGTCATCTTCTCTCCCACTGGGGAATTGAGAAGCTGCTGCTTTTCAATTCCTCAGAGGGAAAGTCAAAACGAAGATGAGAAAATAAATAACAAAACACAAGAGGCAGAGTGGCCGGAACAGGAAAGCAAAGCGTCTGGAATTCTCCCTACCAGGTGTCAGCTTGCAGTGTTTCGGCAGCTCCTCGATCCCCTCTTTCAGCAAGACCGGAACGATAACGTCATAGTTGGGAAGCTCGCTGCAACGGGACGGGACGGGAAATTAGGGAATACAAATCCAAGATCCAAGCGATGTCCACCAAGGGATTCTACACGCTGGAGGCCCAGGCAGTTACAATCTGGGATTTTAAAGTAAAACTGGAGCAAATGTGTTCATTGAAGAACAAACAAAAAACCAAAGAGATGAGATAGAGGAATTCATCTATCATTTGACGTCATTTAAAGTACTACTGCCTATGGGAGTGTTTCAAGCTCTCTCCAACTGGTGCCTAAAATTTGTTCAGCCAAAACAGACAAATAGAAATCCCTGAGACATGAGAAATGCTTAACATGTTAAAGATCTGGTCTGTGAGCGATATTTCGCAAGTCACTTTGAACCCCTACTTGAACAATACAAAGTGTCTGAAAGGACTTACCAGTAAGTCTGTTTGAGGATGAGGGCTCTCTCCTCAATCCAGGCTTTCCGAGCTTCCGGGGACATTCCCTTCCCAGCATTCACCTCCTTAGGTGGGAATTCTGCACCGTGGGGTGGGTTGTGGGGGAAGCAGAGAGCAAAAAACGGACGTTTTACTTGCTTGGTGTAGAACTCGGCATTCCTTTCTCCATATTAGCAATCAAATGACGCTATGCAGCATCCTTCAAGCAAAGAAGAGCCCTCAAAGAGCTAAAAACAACTAAACTCTCCAAGAATAAGCTGCGCAAGACGCAGAGAACGGCTAAAATCTAGTTCCCAATCTCACCCCGACAAAACCCAAGAAATGTTTTCACAAAACGTCTGTTCGTAATGTGATGTCAAGTGTACAAGCCCAGAGCCCAGCCAGGCAGGAGGGATTGACGTTCAAAACCACAGGGGACACGCTGGTGCTGGTCTGCTCTCAGAAAAACACCTCAATAAATCACGCCAGGGCCACCGGACCGTCAGCAGAATCAGTTCTCCACTGACCTACCCGGACAAATAAACTCATTTCTGCTCATTAATTAATTGGAGCAGCGCCAATCATATTCGGGACACGTCCCGAACGGGGATCCGACTGCGCCCGCCTGGCGCGGGGCTCCCGGAGGCGGCGGGCGCGAGGGCGCCGGGGCTCACCTTGTCCCGGCGGGGTCAGGCAGACCGCCTGCGCCAGAGCGGCCAGGACCGACTGCTCCGCCAGGCCGATCCGCAGCTTCCCGCCCAGAGACCTGCGAATCAACCCGGGGAATGGTGCTCTTAGTCCCGGACCTTCGCCCCACCCAACAGCACATCCCGAAGAAGAAAAATCAGACGGCAGGGTTATCGGCGGCCCCGAATCCAAGCGTCGGCGGGGGAAACGGGTCGGGTTTCGGGAAACCAGGCCGGGAGAGCCTTACCGGACGATGTAACGCGCCTCGGAGAAGCGGCAGGCCACGAACAGCCCCTTGATGATGTCGATCTTTTTGTGCGTCGACTGCGGAGACGGAGGAGGTATGAGACCGGGGGCTGGCTGGGGTGGGACTGAACGCTAGCGTACTGCCCCCCCCTCCAGAAGAAGCACTCGGCCAAGATCACAGCAAAGCAGGGAGCAGCTAGTCGCCCCAGGATTTCTTTGACTCGGGAGTTGGCTTAGCCAATGTCTGCACGACCGGATAATAATAGAATAATAATAATAAAGTTTACTTATTAGAAGTAGGTGCTCAAAGTAGGCTTTAAAAATAAAACGGTTATTAAGGATTACAAATGACAAAAGACAAGCAGTTAGAAGCACAGCAGAGGTTAGGCAATGGAGAAGACAGACACTAAGCGAAAGCCTTTCTAAACACCTGGGAAAGGTGGCTCTCTGATATCCTTGGGGAGAGAATGATATTAGATATCGGCCCCCTTTGCCATTGGTGGACCCCCACTCACCGCGTTCCCCGTCATCTTGGCGATGTCCGTCAGCTTGCCGAAAACCCCCGTCGCCGTCAGCTTGGGGGGCGTGAACATCATGCGCTGGTTGCTACGGGAGCTCTCGGCCACCAATCCCAGGTCTCCCTTCTCCTGGGACTCCGCCTTGATCTTGTCCAGCTGCCGGCCTGAAAGGGCAGAAACACGGTGCTGCTGTCGGCCTCGAGATTCCTTACGGCTGTGACAGCTCCCAGGTACTGGCGGGCTACAACAGGGAACCGATAACGCGGAGAGCGACCAGTACGACCGGCGCGGACGCAGCCCGGCCCCGACGCCAACGGGATTTTGATCCTGAACGGTCTCGGAATGACTTCACCCGGTTAGAGTTTCGAATGAAGAGTGGCTTAAAATTTGTGAATTTCAACGGAGATGTCCAAACTCGCATTTATGGAGAGAGCTCTGCTGGAAAAACACTGTTCGATTTTTCATAACTCCGAGCCAGAAGGCGCACCATACTGGGGAAAACTAAGTGTCGGAGACCAAGGTGATCATTGGCATATATTCTGGAAGTGCCCTAAAATAAGGCTTTTCTGGAAGGAGTTACATGAGGCCCTGGAAACTCTATTTGATACGAATGTACCCTTTACATTTGAGGCTTTATATTTTGGTAAACTGGATTTTGATTGGAGGGGAACTGACGAATACTTGTTTGGAATCCCTATATCAGCAGGGAAGAAAGCTATAACAAGAAAGTGGCTTCGCCTAGATTTACCAACAACAATGAATGATTTAATTGAATTAATAAAGGAAATACATATAATGGAAAAAATAACATTTTCACTAAAATTACAAATGAACAATATTTTGTCAAATATTGGTCTAGATGGGTTCAGAACATTAAACCTTTAAGGTTGGATTTTGTTGAGATACAAAATAACTGATCTCCTCCCTTTTCATATTCATAAATGTATGCATCTTCCTTCTTTTGAATGTATATAGTTTTGTTTAAAAGTTATATAATTGCAAAATACTAGGGGGAATACAGGAATAGACCATTTTTGCCTGTGATATAAGGCTGAATAATGGTGGGTTATATGTAAAATGGTTTTGTTTTGTGCTCTAAAATTAAAAATTGAAAAGAAAAGACTTCACCCAAAAACAAAAAAGGCTGCTTTAACTAATCGCAAAGAGATTGTCCCAGTTCTCTGGAGACCGGCGATTTCACAGGGACCTGGAAATCCTACTGGATCGGGGCCTCCCTAGGAGGCCTAGAGACTTCCCCTCGTCCCGTGGTGTACAGAAAGGAAACGGGGACGAGGAAAGGAAAGTTCAAAACTCCTCTAAGATCAGGAGCCAGGACGTGGTGTCATGAGTCCCGTTCTGTACCTGTTGCCTGGGCGACGGCCTTCATGAGCACGGTCTCCCCCACGCCCAGCTCCAGGCCCAGGAAGGCCGGCCCGATGCGGTTCAGACACAGGTACAGGCAGGGCAGCAGGTCCGCCGGGGTCAGAGCGATCACCGAGCGGAACAGGTTGGCCAGGGTCTCGATGTTCTTCAGCCTGCGAGGGACAAGGGGGAGACGGGAGATCGCGCACGGCTTTTACCAGCGGACCCTCTGTCCTCATTTAGTCATTCCAAAGAATACAACCGTTTCTGAGCGGTCCCGCAAACCGTAACGAAAGCACCCACGCGACTCACGAATGACGACTCCGAACCCAGAACTATCCCAGGAAAGCACCTGGGGAAAATGAGCGTTTGGCAGGCCACCAGAGCAACGCAGGGGCCGAGCAGACGCCCGTCTTGGGCTGTTACCCCCACAGGTTCTGAAAGGCAGGAAAGCCCGGCCCAGCTGGAAACCCACCTGGCAGACTCCTCCTCGATCTTCTCAAAGGTCCGAGCGACAGCCAGGTACGGGACTCTGCAGGGAAAGGGCCAGAGGGGCGATTCAGAGGATCGGGAAATAATAAAGATATTTTCACGACTAGCAGCGCTACTGTTTTACTGGCCGGCGACTACTTTCAACAGACGTTGCCTTGTTTAACGTTCCCGCTTTAAAGCAAAAAAAAAAAGAAACGGGCAAGATCTGTAAGTCACCCCAGACGGCGAACGGACGCTCTCACACCACCCCAATGCGCACTCGGGCAGAAAAGCTCTGCGCGGTTTCTTAAAACGGCCCTGCCTGCGTGCACAGATGTGGGATCACATTCCCTCTCAGAACATCCCCGCAAGGAGCCCGTTCCCCCGGGATAGCACCCCCGGAAGGGGACACCCCACCTCTGCTCGTGGCTCCAGCAGGCGTCCTCCACAGGGTGGTAGTTCGACTTCGAGGGGTTGTAGTCTGAGGGGGTGCCGGCAGCCGTCTCCGACTTTGCCGGCTTGCCGAAGAAGCTACGATGAAACAGAGGGAAAGGGGCACTCAGCCGAGCTTTTACAGCTCTTAACATTTACAGGATTTTACATGACTCCTGGGGTGTGACATCACGCTATATCACATATGCACGCAGGGCTAATGTGTCACTTGTTAGAAACTACTTCAGCGGACCTTGCCTTGTTCAAAGTTCCCACCTGAATCATCATCGTTCCCATCGCAGCCTGCTGGGGAAAGAAAGGGATGTGGAATGGGATCCCGACGTGCCCAACTTCCCGGCCGTGCCCGTGCTTGTCCCCATCCCCGAGTCTCACCTCCCTCCTTTGGTCTCCCTGCTCTCCGGCGGAGACGTCTGGACCGCAGGCTTCTCGCCATCCGATTTCTCCAGCTTGACGGCCGCCTTCTTGGGGGCTGTTGGAGCAACGTTGGCCGATTTGAGAAAGGAAAAGGCGGGAAGGGTCCGAGAGGGAGGGAGCGATGTGGCGGGGGCTGCGGGACCCAGGTCACTGCGCCGCGCGGCAGTGGAGGGGTGGGCGGGACTTACTGAAGAAGCTGCTGACGGCCCGGCTCTTGGCAGGTTCCACCTTCCCTGGCTCCACCGACTTCCCAGCTCCGACCTCCTCTCCCTTCTTCCCTTCTTTCTTGTCCGCCTGGGGGGACTTCACCCTGCTCGCAGCCGGTCTGGCCGACATCTTGGTCTTGGCGTTGGCGTCGTCGGGCTTCTGGAGAGGGGAGGCGGCCCCTGCCTTCGGCGCAGCTGGCTTGGACGTGGCGTCCAGCCTCTTTTTCCCAGCGTCCTCGGAGGGCTCCGATTCTCTCGCCTCGCCCGGCCCCGGCTCGACCTTCATCTCGGCGATGTCTCCCGTCCCCTCCTCCGCCCCGGGCGAGGGGTCGCTTTCGGCCGCTCCGGCTGGCTGTCCCCCGACGGGCGAGCTTCCCTGCTTCTCCGAGGGG